GGAGTGTCCCTCTACAACTATGCCTAAGCATTTATTCACAGTTTCATATATATGGGAGTTGTTTTTTATTTTTCTTTTAAGCACTATACCATATTTCAATGCCAAAACTAACTAGAGTTCCTTCATAAAAATTTTCCAAATTTTTTAAGTATAGAGAACATACAAATAATGTAAAAGTTTTTCACAAAGCACCAAGCCCTAGAGTGAGTTCTATCATTCTCAACAGTTATTTACATTCAGATTCTAGCCTAACAAGATCATCATCATCGGGTATCCTCAAAACATTCTATCTAACTATCCTACCATTTACTGATGTCATGGCATAATACTATGTTAATGCTATCATACATATGTCCTACCAAGAACACTACATCCCCCAAACTTAAGGGAAGCATTGTCCTCAATGCTTAAAGACAACTAAACTAAATATAAACTGAATGCCATGCAATGAAATGCAAACTAAATGAAAATGAATGCAAGTGAGGTACCTTAATGTTTGCGTGGTGGTGTTGCCTTGGAGGTGTTAGCAGCTCCTCGTCTAGTGCGCTTGCGAAGGGGTGTTGGGCTGGATTCTGAGGAAGTAGAGTAATAATGCACAATATTCTTACGTCCAGCCATGGTCTTAGTGCGTCGACAACTACGTGGTGCAGGAACGGGACTGGGTGTTTCTTCGACAGGGACAGTGGGTGGATATTCAGGGGTGTCAGAACGGTGTTGATCAGGAGTCGGGTCATCAACTGGAGGATCTTCTTCATCTTGTTCGGGCTCTGGAGATACCTCGGTATTGAATACCGACAGAATTTCTTCTGGGAAGCCAGGGAAATTCCATTGATCGTGGGGAATAATTTCTTGAAACATCGATTCCACCACAGCATCTCTATGCTTCACATATCCAAAGAAATTACGGATGTCACCGTGTAAAGCATGCAGATGAGTCTGAGTCTTCATCACAGGTTCCTCGAGAGCAAGCAATCTTGCCTCGGCATTGGATTGTGTAGTTCCTGCAGATTGCTCATGAACAGGGTCTTTAGACTTGGGATTTTCAATTCCTAATAGCAGTGGAAGTGTAGCCCTAGTAATGCCCGATAATCCAGGTAAAATTTCATCAAAAGCATTTTCCTCTACCTTTTTCTTACAACACAAAGTAGTAATTAAGTTAGGAAACACTAAAGCACTTGCCTTTTTACTCAAGCAGTCATGAACTTGCTGAACAATAATACGACCAACATCAATATGACGGGATACAATTATCGAATGTAAAAGTAGTAAGCGTGAAAGTGATACCGTCGTATTGTAAGAAGTAGGCATGAGTTTATGCTTAAGGAAGTGATTCCATAACTTAGCGCGTGGCTGAAGACGCTCTCTGTTGATCGAGTATCTACTTGTTTGGCGCCCATTCCACTCAGTGTTTGCAAAGCATAAATCCTCAAGACTGTCATCATATGTGTGGCTATCGGCTTCATTTTCAAACGCGACATGCCCGCCCACTACTTCCTGTAAATGAAAATACCTATTAATCGCAGTGGGCGTAAAACGTATCTGTTTACCTCGGACGAAAATGGAGTGTTGGTTGGGTTTGGAAATATTTGCATAAAATTCCTTAACCAACGAGGCATTCACTGAACCCGGATGGCGCGCGAACTTCTTCCACTTGAGCGGTGTCACAATGTCCATTACGTCGGGTCCAAAGGCGCCATCGGTCTCCTTGGTAAAAATAAAACCCAACTCAAAGAAGAGTTTTCGGTTCTTGAAGTTTTGGAACCAAGCCTTGGCCTCATCGTTCTCAAACTGTTGGAACTTGGAACCTTCGGGTGCAGCCGGTCTTGTGCACACCATTTTCAACAGTTGTGAAGTAAGAAAAATGGAAAAGGAAGTATCTTTCAAAAGCTTTGTAAAGTTTCGGCTATGGAGAGAAGAGCGAAGAAGATGAAGAATATGAGAGATAAAAAGTAAAAGTTAAAAATGAAATAGAAAAGTTAAGGAAGAAAGAGAAAAGAAAAAGTTAAAAGTTTGAGAGGGAAAAAGGGGTGATAGGACGGTTAAGAGAGAAATTAGTGGGTGGGAGGGGTTATGCGTGTATGGGGGAAAAACTGCCAAAAGAAATGATGATGATGGGACAAAACTGTGGAGAGAGAAAAGAAATGTCAGAAATAAAATAAATTAAAAAGAAATAAAATCAAAGAATATCTCTCCCATTAATGCGCTGTCATTTCCTCCATTTGGGTGACTCCTCCCTGCACGGTTTGCAGCAATGTGGTTCTTACAAATCATATCAAAAATTAATTACAAAATAAAATAAAATAAAATGAAAGAAAAACTTAAATTTTAAATTTTATTTATGCACAGACACAAATTCAATGCCGTGGCATCGAATTTTGGTTCTCCTCTTAGCAAGCTTTAGCATCTTGCAGACGTAACACTTCCTTGTTGTGCGGTGGTGGAACTCCATTGTAGGCTTTCAAACGCTGGCCATTGACCTTGAAGATCGTCCCATTGTCTATTCTCTTGATGTCAACAGCTCCATGGGGTAAACATAATGCACCTAAAATGACCCTGACCATCGAGATTTGAGCTTCCCATGAAAGAGTTTAAGTCTGGAGTTATAGAGTAAGACTTGTTGCCCCACATGAAAATTTTATGGAATCAGTTTCTGGTCATGCCACTTCTTGGTTTTCTCCTTGTATATCCGAGCATTCTCATATGCTTGTGCTCTAAATTCTTTCATTTCATTAAGTTCCAGTAATCTTTGTTCCCCAGCTAGTTGAGCATCAAAATTCAATCGCTTGATGGCCCAATACGCCTTATGTTCAAGTTCAACCGGGAGATGACAAGCTTTACCATACACTAGCTTGAATGTTGACATTCACAAGGGATTTTTGAATGTTGTTCTGTACGCCCAAAGTGTTTCATCCAACTTTGGCAACCAATCCTTACTCCTTGGGTTCACCACTTTCTCTAAAATCTGCTTGATCTCTCGATTGGATATCTCTGCTTGGCCATTTTTCTACGGATGATATGCCATGGCAATCTTGTGTCGAACTCCATATCTCTTCAATGCCTTGGCAATCAACTTGTTATCAAAGTGGGTTCCTTCGTCACTACTAATAGCATGAGGTACTCCAAACCGAGTGAAAATATACTTGTGCAAAAACTTGAGTACGGTCTTGGAGTCATTCCTTGATATCGCTATTGCTTCCACCCACTTTGACACATAATCCATAGTAAGAAAGATATATAATTTTCCTTCAGAAGATGGGAATAGTCCCATGAAATCGATGCCCCACACATCAAACAACTTTATCTCCAAGATATTTTGCATTGGCATTTCATGATGTCTGGAGATGTTTTCAGTCTGTTGGCAATGATCACAAGCTTTGTAAAATGCTTGGGCATCTTTAAACAGAGTTGTCCAGTAAAATCCTGATTGCAGGACCTTAGCAGCAGTCCTTGCTCCACCAAAATGGCCTCCACATGGGGTCGAATGACAATGGTACAAAATATCACGTTGCTCCTTTTTAGCCTGACTATCTAAATCAAAAGGTAGAATTCCACTAACAAAGAAAATTAACAAGGTCAACGTACCACGGAATTGTCGCGACATATAAAAGTTTCTCATCAGGAAATTCCTCTTGGATATCTATAGTGTCATGGCATTCAGAATTGTTCTCTAGCCTAGATAAGTGATCATCAACTTGGTTTTCAGTATTCAGAATTGTTCTCTAGCCTAGATAAGTGATCATCAACTTGGTTTTCAGTTCCTTTTCTATCTACCACCTCTAAGTCAAATTCTTGCAAAAGTAAGATCCACCTAATAAGTCTAGGCTTGACATCCTTTTTGTTCACTAAGTATTTTATGGCCGATGATCAGTGTGAACAATAGCCTTTATGCCTATTAGGTAAGGTCTAAATTTATCAAAAGAAAATATCACGGCAAGTAATTATTTCTCAGTGGTGGTGTAGTTCAATTGTGCTTCATTTAAAGTCCGGCTAGAGTAATAAATAACATGAAAAATTTTACCTCGGCGTTGCCCCAAAACAGCTCCTACGGCATAATCGTTTGCATCACACATCAACTCAAATAGTAATGTCCAATCCGGAGGAACTACAATGGGTGCCGAGATCAGTTTTCTTTTCAGCTCAGTAAATGCGTCGAGGCATAACTCATCAAACACAAAGGTTTGATTTTACTGAAGCAATGTGCACAAGGGCATAGAAATCTTGGAGAAGTCTTTGATAAAACTTCTATAGAATCCAGCATGACCAAGAAAACTTCTTATCCCCATGACCGAAGTTGGTGGTGGCAACTTTTCAATCACTTCAATCTTCACCTTGTCCATCTCAATACCCTTGTGTGAAATTTTGTGGCCTAATACAATGCCTTCAGTCACCATGAAGTGACATTTTTCCTAATTTAAGACCAACTCAGCCTCTTCGCATCTTTTGAGAACTTTTACTAGATTGCTGAGGCATCGTTCAAAATTATCCCCACAAACAGAAAAGTCGTCCATGAAGATCTCTAGAAAATCCTCAACCATGTCTGAAAATATAGCTTGCATATAACGTTGAAATATTGTCGAGGAATTAAAGAGTCCAAAAGGCATCTTCCTAAAGGCAAAAGTTCCATAGGGACAAGTGAATGTAGTCTTTTCTTGGTCCTCTGGTACGATGGCAATTTGATTGTACCCCGAGTACCCATCCAAAAAGTAATAGAATGCTTTGCCGGCCAATCGATCCAACATTTGGTCAATAAAAGGTAGAGAAAAATGGTCATTCTTTGTAGCTTTGTTGAGCTTTCTATAATCCATGCTTATCCTCCATCCGGTAATAGTGCGAGTGGGTACTAGCTCATTATCCTTATTAGTAACCACAGTCGTGCCTCTTTTATTCGGAACACACTGGACAGGACTCACCCATTAACTATTGGAGATAGGGTAAATCACTCCAGCATCAAGCTATTTCAGAATTTCTTTCATCACCACTTCCTTCATAACAGGGTTGAGTCTTCTTTGTGGTTCAATTGAATTGTCGTGGCAATCTTCCAGCAAAATCTTGTGCATGCAGATCGTGGGACTAATGCCTTTCAAGTCGGTCATAGTCCAACCAATTGCTTTCTTATGTTGCATAAAAACACTTAACAAACTTTGCTCTTGATTAGCAGTAAGGTTAGCGGAAATAATCACCGGTAAAGTCTCATTGCTACCTAAGTAAACATATTTAAGATGCCCTGGCAAAGTCTTAAGCTCTAAAGTCGGTGCATGTAATAATGAAGGCTTAGGAGGAATAAATTCATAAAATTCAGAGGTTTAAAATTCATACCTGATCTAGCTTGTAGTAAGCTAGACTGCTCCTCCAAAATTGAAAAGTTGTCGTTCGAAACACATTGACAGTTACACACTAATCAGTCACTCTCATGGTGAGTTCACCTTTTTCAATGTCTATCAATATACGTCCAGTGCCTAGGAAAGGTCTTCCCAGAATAATCGGTGCCTTGGCATCAACTTTGCAATCCAGAATTAAGAAGTTGATTGGAAACACAAACTTATCCACCCTCACTATGACATCCTCGACTATCCGTTCAGGTTTAACATGAGATCTGTCAGCAAGTTGTAAAATAACCGAGGTGGGTCTTGCATCTCCTATGCCAAGCTTCAAGAATATTGACTTTGGCATTAAGTTGACACTTGAGCCAAGATCACATAGTGCCTTTCCAACGAAATTAGCTCCAATCGAACAAGGAATAATAAAGTTGCCCGGATCATTTCGCTTTGGCAGTAACTTACTCAATGAAGAACAAAATTCTGTTGCCGTGGCAACAATCTCTACTTTCCTCTTCTTGGTACAGATTTCCTTCAGAAATTTGGCATACATCGGCATATGTTCAATAGCTTCCAAGAGAGGTACATTGATATGGAGTTGATCAAGAATATCCACGAACTTCTTGAACTGAACTTCATCATTATACTTCTTCAATCTTTGTGGGAAGGGTGGGGGAGGTCTATCTTTCTTAACTGCAGTAGTAGGAATTACTTTTGCCTTGGCATCAGAATCTGGTACCTTAGTAGAATCCTCCTCCTTATTCTTCTCAGTACTGCTATCATCATGCAATTCAGCTTTACCTTTGTCATTAGTGGGAATAGAGTCATCATGTTGTGCCCTACTAGCTTTAACTTGTTGATTGATTTGTGTTTCACTCCTAAGAGTTAACACATTGCAATGCTCATTTCCATGCCCTTTAGTGACTTCAGTATCACTTGGAAAACGTCCTTGCTGATGCTCTTGCAATACCGTAGCAATCTGACCAACTTGACCTTCCAAAGCTCTCAAAGATGAACTATGGCTTTGAAGTAAGGCGCCTTGACTATGAAGTAAAGCTCCTTGATTCTTAATTGAAGTAGAATGGTCTTGCAGCATTCTCTTCGTAGTAGATATGAACTCTTGAATCGTAGCTTCCAAGGAACTTATGCTTGCTGAAGTTGAAGCTCCTTTGTTAGTATTATGTCATGGCATAACATTCTGGTAACTCCGAGGCTCATTATTTTGATTCTGCTGCCGAGTAGAGTGATTAGCATTATGGGCTCCTTGATTTCCCCATGAGAAATTGGGGCGCTGACGCCATCCAGCATTATAAGTGTTAGAGTAAGGATTGTTGTTGCCTCGATTGTAATTGCCTAAAAAGTTGATGGACTCGTGATTGCTCGGGCATTCGCTCTCATGATGATTGCCTTGGTATAATAGACATGCCAAGCTAGTTGCTTTCACTTCATTCACCTCAGTAGAGCATTGTAAGTTTTTCAGCATATTGGTGATAGTTGAGAGTTGAGCGAACACCGAATCCTTGGTATCTAACTCAAATGCTCCAGGTGCTCTCCTCCCACTCCCAAGTCTTGAGGAAGGAAACTGATAATCATTGTTAGCAATTCTATCCAAGATAGCAAACGCCTCAGTAGGTGATTTATCCAGCAATGTCCCATTTGTCGAGACATCAAGTAACATCCTCGTAGGTGCATTGACTCCATTATAGAACATGACTACTTGTGTCCAATCGTGAAAACCATGATTTGAACACTTTTGAAGCAAACTCTTGTAACGATCCCAACACTCATACATGGATTCGTCGTCGCCCTGGCGAAAAGATGATATCTCATTCCTTAGCTGCGTATTCATGTTCGGTGGGTTGTACCTCAATAAAAAACTCTTGCAAAGATCAGTCCATGATTCCATCGAACCGACTGGTACACCACTCAACCAAGCCCTTGCTCGGTCACACAATGAATACGGGAACAACTTTAACTTCATAAAATCCTCATGTACTCCCTCTTGGCGAAAAGAATCACAAACTTCCAGAAAATTACGAATGTGCTGCCTGACATCTTCATTTGGCATACCCCCAAAATACCCAATAGAATTCAACATGTTGAACATGACTGGTTTCAGCTCGAAATGTGCAGCTTGAATTTTGGGTGCCACAATTTCAGGATACAGATCATCCAGTATCGGATTTAAGTGATCACGAATAACATGCGGCCTAACATCATGATTAACTTTTCCTAATGCCGCGACATTCTGATTTCCGTCATCCTGACCAATGCATTGGTTTCCATTCTGATACATGTTTCCTCTTGCGCGTTGAGCACGTCTCCTTTGTCTAAAGAGTCTTTCAATCTCAGGTTCTATCGGTTCTAAAGGCTCTTCAGAATTTCTTCTAGGCATACACTAAATAAACCTGAAAAAAATAAAAAATATAAAGTAAACTATACACAAATAAAAATGCAAAACAAAATAAAATGCTCTGGTAAAACTAAATAACTTCAGGCTGCCAATCCAGACAACGACGCCAAAAACTTGTTTGCGTGTGTGAGTATTATAAAATATACGCACATAATGTGCAAGTATACACAATCATTCAAGTAATATAATGATGAGTGAGTATCGTCTCCACAGGGATTGGGCGAAATTACAAAAGTCTAACCTGAGCTAAGTATTACTCTATCTATATATAGTTAGTCTTTATATATACAAATGTCATGGCAAATGAAAATGTGTATGCTGATGGATGCAGATGAATGGTCTGATGGTGTAGCAGATGGAAATGTAGTGGCAAGATTAGATGTTTAGCGTTGAAAATGGTGTAATGTCGAGGCAATGAAAGATGGTAAATAAACAACAAATAAAATAAAAAGAAGATAATCCTTACATGACAAGCTTCCAATGGAATGAATGATAGGGATTGATCTAAGGATGCTAAACTTATCTCTCAGTCATATTTAAGCTATCTAATCTTTACTTGCTTGACAGGGCTTTCCTAAAATGTTCTTAAAGGAACCTAACAGAATATGATGCCAAGGTATCTACTCTCACTCAACGATGTTGGCCAACCTACCCTATTAATAAAGAAAACCTTTTTAGTCGTTAAAATCCTATCCTAGTCTCTCCCGAGATCTAAGGGATTAGGTTATAATATCCCTAGGCCGGTTTAAAGCCCCTTGAAAATACTATAACACATTGCTTATGAGGATCTTGTCTTACGATTCTCTCGAATACTTACAAGTATTTTTAGCTTAGGTTTCTCCCGAATACCTAAACTTCATATAAGAAATGGACATTTCCATGCCTCTTACAAGCCTAGATGGTGAAGTATTCATAAGCAAAGCAAATAAAGAACCAAAATATACTTAAACTTACCATTAAAATAAAGTCTAAACATCCATTAAACCAACCACCACCAAATAAGTTAGTTCATGGTGGGGTTCGAAATATCCAAACACAAAGTCATGTAAATATTTGTTTCAACAACCCATAAATAAATATAAAAATAGTAGCAAAAAGGGAAATGGTAAGTAGCCTTTGACGCGCCACCAGAGGTCTCCTCGGCCACCATGAATCACCTTAGCTCGCTAGCTCCTCTCGGCACCTAGCTTGCCACTCCTTGGAGCTTAATCAATGGAGGAAAACCCAAGGAAGAAGAAAAGGAAAAGGAAATAAAAATATGATTTTCTTCTGCTCTATGCGTGTGCCTCTTCACGTGTTGTTGTGTCTCCCTTGAGGTGTAATATATAATAAAAATGTCGTACAACTGTATCTTTTTGTCATTTTCTGCTTCAGCAACGTGTGATGCCACGGCATTACTTCCCATCTAGTCCTTTTTGCTTGCTATTCCCTGCACACCACAGAAAAACTGCACCTTTCCCTCAAGCAGCATCATTAAGAAATAAAATAGCACTACCACCACAAATGCAACTATATGCAACTGCATGATCCTAAAATGCCTAAAATAAGCTTTTAAACAAACAATAACTTAAGTCAAAAAGGCCTTAAAAGTAGCATTTTTAGGAAGTTAACACTTACAGTTAGCTACTTTCGAGTATTTGGTTGTGTATGCTATGTGTTTGTTCCTGATCATTTATGGAGCAAGTTTGACAAGAAAGTTGTTAGATATATCTTTGTTGGATACGACATCCAAAGAAAGGGGTGAAAATATTGTGATCCAATGAGTGGAATATGCTACACGTCATGAAATGTGATATTTGATTAAGCATCTTCTTGGTGGTCCTTAGAGAATGAGGTGTTGTCAGATTCGAGAGAATTTGGAGATAAGTTGCAACAAAAGATGGGGGAGCATGTTGTTCAACTCTAAACAAGTTCAGATGAATCAGGAGATCCTAATGGCGATGATGTCGAATAAAGAGTAACTCAGAATACTTGGAAAACTGGCATGTATCAACAATCAAACGAAGAAGGTGGGCCTAGTGAAACAGAAGAATCAATTCCACAATCTCAACTCCGAAGGTCAACAAAAATATGAAGGCCAAATCCCAAATATGTCAATGCAACCATAATTGAAGAAGCAACAGAGCCTGAGATGTTCGAAAAAGCATAGCAGAGTTCTGAGTGGATGACAGCTATGAAAGAAGAGATCGATGCACTTTAGTAAAATCAAACTTGGGATCTTATGCTAAAGATAAAATATGTGAAACACGTATCTTGCAAACGGGTTTACAAGATAAAGCGCTGTCCAGATGGGTCAATCGAGAGGTACAAGGCACGATTGGTAACTCGTGGTTTCTCTCAACAGTATGGACTAGACTATGATGAAGCATTTAGTCCAGTGGCAAAACTTACAACCGTACGAGTCCTACTTGCACTTGTAGCCAAAAAAGACTGGAATTTGTGGCAGATGGATGTGAATAATGCTTTTCTTCATGGAGAGCTAGATCGAGAGATCTACATGACCCAACCAATGGGTTTTCAGATTCAAGATCATCCTGAATATGTGTGTAAGATGCGAAAAGTACTCTACGGATTGAAATAAGCACCTAGGGCATGGTATGTTAAGATTGTTGAATTTCTAACAAAAGGTGGCTATTCAGTAACACCTGCATATTCTAGCTTATTTGTCAAAGTCAATGAAGGTAAGTTAGCTATCATGATAGTGTACATGGATGACTTAATCATAACCAGTGATGATGAGGCAGAAATTCTTCAGACGAAGGAAAATTTATCAGTTCGTTTACAGATGAAGGAACTTGGATAACTTAAGCACTTCCTTGGTCTAGAGATTGATCGCACATACGAAGGAATATTTCTGTGTCAATAGAAATATGCTAAAGATTTGTTGAAGAGGTTTGGAATGCTCGAATGCAAGTCAACTTCAACGCCAATGGAACCAAATGTCAAAATGTGTGCACATGAAGGAAAAGATTTGGAAGATGGAACAATGTATCGACAATTGGTAGGTAGTTTGATCTACTTAACCTTGACCCGACCTGACATTTCTTATGTAGTTGGTGTGATGAGTCGGTATATGCAAAATCCAAAGAAGTCTTACTTGGAAGCAGTTCAACGAATACTGAGATATGTGAAGAGTACAATTGACTATGGTCTTTAGTACAAGAAAGGTGAAGACTGCAAGTTAGTTATTGTGATGCTGATTATGCAGGAGATCATGACACCAGGAGATTAACAACTGGGTATGTGTTTAAGCTTGGCTTTGGAACAATTTCTTGGTGTAGGAAGAGACAACCAACGGTATCATTGTCAACCACTGAAGCTGAGTATCAAGCAGCAGCAATGGCACCTCAAGAGAGTACATGATGGTTGATACAATTGATTAATAATCTACATCAACCAGTATATTATGTAATTCCATTGTACTGTGACAACCAATCGACAATTTGACTGGCGGAGAATCCTATTTTTCATGCAAGAACTAAACATGTGGAAGTACATTACCACTTTATTAGGGAAAAAGTTTTGCAAGAAGAGATTGAGATGAGGCAAATCAAGATAGATGAGCAAATTGATAACTTGTTTACAAAAAGCTTGAGTGTTGGAAAGTTTGAACATTTCCGTCGTCAGCATGGCGTGATTCAAAGAATGGAGACTAACATTGAGGGGGAGTGTTGAAAATTTACTATTAGCCTAAATAAGTTCACATCTACATTAATTTGATGTCATTTCTTACATCAATTTAGTTTTGATATCATTGCTTACATCAATTTAGTTAGGTGAAAATTAAGTATTTTTCTCATGTTTTAATTTCAATGGTTTAGATTATTTAGTGATTATTTTAATGATTAGTTTAGATTATTTTTTGTAATCTATAAATACCCTACTTGTATTTGAGTTTTATCATCCAACAATCAAAGCTTAATTATAAGCATTTGAAAGTTTTCTTAAGAGTTCTTCTCTTTTGCAATTTTGTGAGATTATTCTAAGGAGAGTTTTTCTTCTTCTCGATCAATTAGAGTTTTTACTCTATTTTGATTCAACAAGCTTGTAGTGGGTAATGGCATGTTGTTAGATGTTAAGGTGGTTGGTAGAGTTTCATTATCTTCATCGTGTTCTCGTGCTTTGTTATTGAAAGATTTATTGTATGTGCCCAAAATAACGAAAAATCTTCTCTCGATGTCCAAGTTTGTTAGGGATAACAATGTCTTCCTAGATGTTCATGCCAAGAAGTGTTTTCTTCGAGATGAAGTTACAGGTGAGGTTCTCTTTCAAGGTACAAGGGGTGATGGCTTGTATACCTTTTCTGCTAGAAGTGATAGAAATATGTCAAAGCTGAAGAAAACTCGATAAATTTGAATAGTAACACATTTAAAATGTGGTATAGATAATTAGGGAGCCCTAGTTATGATACTCTTACAAGATTTTGCAAGTAAATTGAGGTAAACATTTCTAACGAAATTATTTAAACTTGTGTTTTTTTCCATATGGGTAAAAGTCATAAGCTATCATTTACTGATTCACATATGAATTACAGTGCTCCGTTTTAGCTTGAGTACACTGACATGTGGGGCCTTTGCATGTTGGCTCGAATGGTTTTTTATATTATTTTTTTGTTGATGAATGTGCTCGTGATACGTGGGTGTATCTTCTTAAAGATAAGTCACAAGCCATTTCAACATTTCATGTTTTTTAACAAATGGTTGGCACACAGTTTGGTGTTTCCATTAAAGTTGTGCAAAGCGATTTGGGTGAAAAATACATTAGATTATCTTTGATCATGCTCAAAGCTGGGATCTCACATAGGTTGAGGTGTCCTCACATGTTAGAGTAAAATGGTATGGCGTGGTTGAGCGTAAGTACAAATATATAATTGAGTGGGCTATTATTTTATTGGCTCAGGCGTCGATGCCCTTTTGTTTTTGGTCATATGTTATAATGACATCGGTTTACTTGATCAATAGATTACCAACAAGAGTTTTGGAGGGTGTGTCTCCTATGGAGAAGTTGTTTGGTACACAGCTTAATTACAACTCGATGAGGGTGTTTGGTTGTCGATGCTTCCCTCATCTTCGACCCTTTCACAAGTACAAGCTAGAGTTTCGATCTCAGTCGTGTACAATCCTTGGTTATAGTCCTCAACACAAAGGTTTTTATTATCATGCTGCTAATAGTAGGGTTTTTGTGTCGAGACATATGGCGTTTGATGAACTTATTTTTCTTTTTACGGAGTCCACAAAATCCAACTTGAATAAAGGAACATCTTGCTCATATGATCAAAAGTCAAGGTGATTCATATAGTGCTAGGGTTTTGAAGACATCACGATGATGGTTCAGTCCAGCAGTCCTCACGGAGCTTGGCATCTCAAGACATGGATAATAGTTCTCTCACGTGAGCAATATATACCTAGTCAGGTTGTGGGGCCAAGTGCGTGTGAGCAAGTGTTAATTGTGTCTGGTCCTGTGGTACCTACTATAGTTACTATGCCAAGCAATGATGATTTAATGGTTGGCAGTAGTACTTGTAGTACTTCTGAAAATGTGGATCAAGATAATATTCAGACGGTTGGTGTAAATCAACACCAATGATGACAAGGAGTAGGCGTGGTGTCTTCAAAGGTTTACTTGATGATTTGTAATGATATCGAGCCATCTAATATTCTCTAAGACATGCAGTCACCTGAGTGGAGTGCATCATTGCATGTTGAGTTTAAAGCTCTCTAAAACAACAGTTGTTCAAATTGAAAAAAAAACTCTGATGGCTCTGTTCAAAAGTATAAGGCTAGGCTCGTCATGAAAGGGTACTCGCAGATGCCTGGCCAAGACTACAAGGATATTTTTAACCCCATAGCTAAATTCACCACGTTGAATGTTACGTTGGATTTGGAAGTTTCAAAAATTTGAGAGTTGAGACAAGTTGATGTGAACAATGTATTTTTCAACGATGACCTCGATGAAGACAAACTTTAGGGTTTGAGCAGCACCTAATGGTGTGAAGATTATGTGTAAGTTACAAAATGCTTTGTATGGGTTATGTCAAGCACCAAGGAAGTGACATACTAAACTAAAAGAATGTTTGCAATCCATGGGTTTAAATAGTCAAGAGCAGATACATCGTTGTTTAGTGTTCTTTGTCTCATCGTTACTCTCGATGGTGAAGATGTTGACTGTGAATCAATATTAGGTTATTTACACAGAGGAATGGAAACAATTGCGGAAAACCAAACAATTATACAATATTTGACTTATGTAACACGTTGGGATTATTTATCCACTATGTTCACGGAAGCAATAACCGTAAATGAACCAGAGTAATTGGGGAATATTCAAGTCTCTAAAAGAGCCAGCTATATCAGAGGAATTATGTTGGAGTTGAGTTGTATAACTTCTACTATATTATGGCTTGGACCTTTTATGGCAGATATTGGAGCACAGTGACCCCTTTTTCTATATTTTCAGAGAAAGAGAATTAATATATGATCTATTCGAAGCTACCACCAGTATGAGAATGATGCATAATTATTTTCTTATCGAAAGAGTGGCAGTCGATCTAACTTATGGATGGATAGATAAATGTTTGTATTTCTGTAATTATTTTTTAATACGAATTATTGAACATCAAAAACTTATTACGCGAAATCTTATTTTTTTAGACCGAGTTAAAGGGAAAGGTATTATTAGTAAAGAAAAAACAATAAATTGGGGTTTGTCCGGCCCAATGCTATGAGCACCAAGAATCAGAAAGGATCTTCAAAAAGTTGATCATTATGAGTGTTATGATGAATTTGATTAGAAAATCTAGTGGCAAGAAGAAGAGATTCATTAGCTCGTTACTTAGTTTGAATCAGTGAAATGAAAAAATCCATAAAAATAATTCAACAGTCCTTGGAAGGAATTCCGAGGGATCCCTATGAGATTTTAGAGATCTGATGCTTTGATCGAGAAAGGGATCTAGAATGGAATGATTTTGAATATCGATTCATTAGTAAAAAAACCCTTCTCCCACATTTGAATTACTGAGACAAGAACTTTATACGAGAATAGAAGCCCTAAAGGGAGAATTAGGAATTTTTCTGATGTGGGATCAAAGCGGTTTTCCTTGGAGATGGAAAATTAGCCTGTTGGATTTTATCAATTTGCAAATTATTCCTCAGTTAGTTAAAAGAATGAAAATTTGTTGATATTATGATGATACTAGGTAGCATAGATATCATTATGGGAGAAGTGAATCGTTGAAATGATAATTTATATGACGGAAGTACAAGATATCAATTTCTTTTACAGATTGAAATATTTAAAAAAGGTCTATGAGATTATATGGATGTCGATCCCTATTTTGACTCTTGTCTTGGGAATCACAATAGGTGTACTAGTAATTGTATGGTTAGAAAGAGAAATATCTATAGGAATACAAAAATGTGTTGGGGCCTGAATACGCCGGTCTTTCGGGAATTCTTCAATCTCTAGCAGATGGAACAAAACTGCTTTGCAATGAGAATATTCTTCCATCTAGAGGAAATACTCATTTATTTATTATTAGACCATCTATAGTAGTCATATCAATTTTACTAAATTTTTCAGTAATTCCTTTTAACTCTCCCTTATTTTAGTCGATCTCAATATCAATATTTTTTTTATGGATTACCATTTTAGGTATTGCTCCTATTGGACTTCTTATATCACTCTACAAACCAAATAATAAATATTCCTTTTTAGGTGGTCTCAAAAGATCAACCGTCTAGAGTTTTCACTATACTTTGTACAGATTCCTATACATGTATTGCTAAATAAATGGGAGATTAAATTTAAAAAAATGAATTGATGGTTAGGAACACCAAAATACATAAAGGATTAGTAATGAATATTATGTAAATTATATAAAAAGAAACTTCTGGATAATATAAAAAGAATACTAATTGGAGCTTAAAATTTGTAGAAATGACTAGGTCATACTCCCCACGATTTTGGCCCAGAGTATTCTTCTATTCGCCGATTAAAGTAATGACTATCAGGAACAAAATAATCCTTCACTATTTTTTAGTTTAAGCCCTCATTCTTGGTTTTATCAGATCCGAAAGAAGAATAGGAACGAAAAAGAACCAATAAAAAATAAAAAAATAAATCTTTTTGTTCTTTTTTATATATATATATATATATATATATATATATATATATATATATATATATATCTAATTCGTGTCATGATTTATGAGCTAATGTAATGTTTCAATTTTTTTGTAATTGAAAACAAATGTGTTGAAATATATATTGATATTCTACAACAAGTATTTTGTTAAAGGCTTAAGTTACTAAACAAATCAAAATTAAAATTATAAACGGGTAAGATCAATTTAGAAGCACTTTTTTTATTCTTCATAATATAGCAAACAAAATTCCATTGGTATAATTTTGGACCTTCTAATCCATATTTTCTCTATCCATTCTACAACCATACAAAGATAAATAATATTGATTCGGTCCTTAAATTTATTTATGACCCACGAGGAGTCGTATGAGGTGAAAATCTCATGTACTGTTTTGGACTAGCGATGGAAACAGTGATGTTATCATCAACTATAATTTATCGTTTTTCTAATTTCTTTTCTAGCAGAATGTGAGAGATTACCTTTTGATTCACCAGAAGCTGAGGAAGAATTAGTAGTAGGGTATCAAACCGAAAATTTAGATATCAAATTTGGTTTATTTTACGTTGCTTCGTGACTAAATCTATTACTTTCTTCGTGATTTGTAACATTTTTTTACTTAGAGGATTGTAATATTTCCATTTCGCATGTGTTCATCCATGAGCTATTTAAAACAAATAAAATGAATGGAATCTTTGGAATGACAATTGGTATCTTTATTACATTAGCTAAAACTTATTTGTTTTTGTTTATTTCTATTGCAACACGATGGACTTTACCTAGTTTAAGAATGGACCAATTATTAAATCTTGGATGGAAATTTCTTTTACCCATTTCTCTCAATGATCTATTATTAACAACTTCTTCCCAACTTCTTTCACTATAACCAAAAAAAAAAGAATATGAGATTCATAGATATTCACAGATAAAATTATTCATAGATATTCATGATATGTTTCCCATGGTAACTAGGTTCATGGATTATGGCCACCAAAAAGTTCGAGCAGCAAGGTACATTGGTCAAGGTTTCACGATTAGCTTATCCCATGCAAATCGTTTACCCGTAACTTTTCAATACCCTTATGAACATTAATCACATCAAAGCGTTTTCATGGGTGAATCCAGTTTGAATTTAAAAAATGCATTGCTTGCAAAGTATGTGTTCGTGTATGCCCATAGATCTACCTGTTATTGATTGGAAATTTGAAATGAATATTCAAAAAAAATGATTGCTTAATTACAATATTGATTTCAGAATTTGTATATTTTTTGGTAATTGTGTTGAGTATTGTCCAACTAATTGTTTATCAATGACTGAAGAATATGAACTTTCTACTTATGATCTTCACGAATTGAATTATAATTAAATTACTTTGGGTCATTTACCAATGTCAGTAATTGACGATTTTACAATTCGAACAATTTTGAATTCGACTCAAAGAAAAACTAAGTAAACCTCTTATTCTATTGAAGTAAAGATAAATTTCCAATTATTTTAAGGTTCTGATTTGGTTTAAGTTTAAAGAATGTTTGGTTTCAATTAAAAAAGAATGAGGACTTTAGCCGATAAATAAAAATTCAATTACAAATTATCTGGTTGAAATTACAAAGTAACTGGTTCATAAGAATTTCATATTCATTTTTATTGAAAATCTATTAATATATTCGTAATTATTTCAAAATATACAGTTTCAAAAAAACAAAATACCCTTTTTAACAAAAAAAGAATAAAAAACGAAGCTTACAATAATTTTATTCAATTAGGAATGTGTCATAAAAAAATTCTTGGTCAAGTCAATAAGATCATGAAAAGTATATTGATTTATTTATCTCTTATTTTACACGGAATGAATTTCCTGGACCAATACACGATTTCTTTTAGTTTTTATGGGATCGGGTCTTATATTAGGGGGCCTAGGAGTGGTATTACTTACAAATTCAATTTATTATGCCTTTTCATTAGGATTAGATCTCGTTTGTATATCCTTATTCTATATTCTCTCAAATTCTCATTTTAGGGCGACTGCACAGCTCCTTATTTATGTGGGAGCCATAAATGTTTTAATCCAATTTGTTGTGATGTTCATGAATGATTCAGAATATTATAAAGATTTTAATTTGTGGACCATTGGGAACCAATACCGATAGTGTTCATAAGAAAACTTAAAACAAGGGAGTTTTGAGTGAGTAGTATCGATACTCATTCATGGAGTATCAGTATTGGGGTCCCGGTTTCGAGACTCACTAAATTGGTATAAAGACCAATTTTCCAGTGGATATTTTGGTAGTGGTACTCATATAGGGTATCGATACCAAGGGTAGAGTATTCATATTTCTTGTAAGGGCATCAATACTGAGGTATTTTTCAAAACATCGAACCTAATTTTAGTATCGATACTCAGGCCAATATCGATACCTCAGTACCCATGTATCGATACTTAGCTAGTAGTATCCATACTAACCTCCCTTAATAGTATACTATAGCAATCAGTATCGAAACCAAAAGGTCGAGTGTACATTTTCGATGCAGCTCTGGAACTCACCCTAGATACCCGAGGGTATCTCAGAAAGGCTAGAGGGGTGTGTGAGCTCCGAGATGCAGAACCCTCAATCGCATCATGATGCCTATTTTAGTAGTACATATCAATATTTTACATGTATTCAAACATGTGTCGCTAACCAGCTTATCTAATGAATGCATGTAGTATAGTACATTTATCAGTGTGGCACTAAGCTTGTAAGCTCAACGTTCGGAATGTATTTTCGTACACAAGTTCATAGGTGACCAGTAACGAAGCATTATCATCGACAACAGTTCTATATCAACCGAGTCAATCAAAGTACATCTTGAGTTATTCTTAGAGGGCATGTACTATTTATAAACCCTTATGTATTCAATCATAACTCTTTTGATTTAAAATCAGTGATGTATTATTTTGAATATTTTGGGAGCTCCCTCGTACTTGTAAACTCAGTTTATTTTCATTTAGCATGTTCATGGATGGATTTTACGTATTACAGTTTATAGTCGTTTTTAAAAGAAAATTTTTGGGTTAGCCACTCTGGTGGTCCCATATGACATCATGATCTAGTGATCTTCAAGTCTGGGGCTAAATTAAGGTGTTACATTTAGTGGTATCAGAGTGTCAGGTTTCGTTGTTCCTAAGTTCTGCAGGTTAAAGTCAGTCAGTTTCTATAAATGTGCATGCCTTTAAAAATTCAAGGGTACTTTAAAGACTGGAATGATGATAATAACCTCATTTTGCCTTCTAATGTTAGAGAAAACCTTATGGAAGATAACCCTGCCTATAGTCAGGATAATAGAGATGAGAGTCATACCTTACAAGCAACAAACATTATGATGAGTTTGTCCTAGTTACAGTCCAGTAGGATGTACCTATAGATGCAAGGTTCAAGGAGGAAACCTTCTTCATGAACCTCTCATCCACAAATCGCTAGCTCTCTACCTAGCACCACAACTGCACCACCTCCCCCATCAGTACCCCAGCTCAACTAATAGTAGTTCCATATGATTCCTCAGTAGAGAGGCTCTACAGATACAAGACCATTGACTTCCATGGTTTAAGGGATGATGATCCCATAGCGGCGGACTAGTGGCTCAGAGAGACCTTCCGCGCCCTCAGATAGTTGCACCTTACCCCACAGGGTAAGCTCGAGTGCATCACTGTCCTGCTCAAGTGTGACGCCATAGATTGATATGAGATCATAGATATGGCACTACAGCCAGATAGACAGACATTGGAGCAGTTCCCATCAGAGTTGCTCAAGAAATGCATCGGTGAGGCTCACACTAATGATCTAAGGAAACAGTTTCTACAATTAGTCCAAGGGGACCGATCAGTGATGGAATATGAGTACGAGTTTCTCAAACTGAGTAGGTAC